ATTTATTGCTGAACAAAATTGGTCCAACAATGAATTTTTATTATAAAAATTCCGTATCTAGGTGCGTGCTCACAATCGACTTTTGATTACCTCCTTGCTGGTTTCGCTTTCGTTCATTAAGCACGCATCCAACTGTAAGGATAGCGAAGACGAAGCCGCATTACTTTTTTTGTTGATGATCCATCGTGTCATCCAGATTATGCTTAAGCCACAGAACATCAGGAGGCATGCAGTACCAAATACCATAAAGGGAAATACGACTTGGCCATGGTTCTCGATCAATGCGCCTGCAAGAAATTGGAGCAGAGCTGCTCCCAGCGCGCTGCCTAGGTTGACGAAGGCTGTTATGATTCCGGTGACCGGGACGGCAGTATTTATCACACCCAGTCCCGTCGGGAAGAGTGGGCTCTTGAATAGACCAAACCCTGTGGAGAGGACAAAGAATGCGATTCGAGAGGCCCTCTCAGAGTCTTTCGGGATCAGACACATTCCTAGGCTTGTAGCTGTAGTGCCGAGGAGTAGTCCAGCCATAACGAGCTTGCACGAGACGCGCAGAGTGATGACGAAAACAATAAGTCTAGCGAGGCAAAAGGAGACCCAATAGGCGGCGTTAAGTGCATAGCCCTCGTGGGTGCTGAAGCTGAGAGGGCCGCACTTTACATAGTCGAACATAAACTTTCCAAAAACACGCTCATTACCCACAAGAGCTAGGTAGGTGATGAAGATTGAGGGAATTATGTAAAGTGTGGCACGGTTCTCCCTCATAAGCGTACTTATCCATCGTTGGGCTGCACGAAAGAGACGCCGAAACGGGTTAGCCCTTACATCAGCCAAATTTGTGGCTGTATTAGGCATTTGTTGTCGATTTTTTTTCTATAGAAAAGGCAAATTAATGCAAAAGACACAGAGAAGCAATGGAGTGAATGAATGACGAGAACATTAGCGAAATGATAAACCTTGGCATCCTAACCATTACCATTGACCATTACCTTTCACCATTACCACCGTTAACTGACAATAGTACCAGCGATGGCACCACACAAAGAAAAAAATCAACTTTTTAATCAATGCTTTTACTCCACCTACGCCACTTTAAGCAGCATCCTTATAACAAAATATCATCAATAGTATTTCTAGGATAAATGCTATCGCTAAGATCGAATACAACCTAGATTTTTGCTTTTATATTTGTAATGATAAAATCTTAATGCTTGGTTTATTTGGTGCTGAAATCACATTATGTGAATAAAGTTAGCAGATTGGCAGATTTTCTTATAAAAATAATTCCTCCTGTATTATGCTGAGATAATAAAAGTGAAATTTAGTTAGGAAACAATATTAAGGCCAGTGGGAGCCTCCAAAAAAAGCTTAAAGCTGATCAGAACAAAAATTTTCAAAATTTTGAGCAGATTTTTGTTTCATAAAAAGGGCGACTAGATTTAGCCAAGGTTACAAGATTTTCAATTGTTTAGCTTAACATAGTAGGCAAAAAAGAGGGTCGTATATTGTTGAGGGATGAAAGCCAAATGGAATCAGGGTAAGCTTTCTAAGATTTTCGTCATTATACCGTTGGCAAGAGATAAATAAAATTGTCTAAAAAGTGTTCTCAAATTAAGCTAGGCTTACACATTAATATTGAATAATGAAATACCAAAAATTAAGTAATTGAGCCTTTTAGCACTTTGTATTATAAAACAGCTGCAGCTGAAAGGCCTTTGTAAGCTGCGTCTAACGACATTTTATATGGGATTAACAGCTTGCAACCATCTCTTAAGCAACTCTATGTACTACTAAGTATGGCCTCAGAAATAAGATTAATTGTTTCGTCGTCGAAAATGTCAGGACACATCAATAAATGGGTGAACTAAAATTCCACGGCCCAAAAGTTCACACTGGATAAGAATAATTCTTAATAATAAAGGCTTAGTTTAACACAATGGAAACATGAAGCCTACTCATGCCATTGTGGGAAAATTGAACTTTGAGCCATTTATTATCTTAAGCAACATAGGGCGAGTAAAGCTCTAATCAAAGTTTACCATTAGTTTATACATCCTAATAAATATGAATAATTTGGGTTCAGCTAGTAGAGCATTATTTCCGCTCGAGTACCACAATTAATTTAGGAAACAGAATCTGCGCTTCACCATAGACAACAAATTCTGAGGAAAATTTTGAGTATTATTGATTTACTGAATTATTAACATAGTTATGTTAATCGAGGGTATGAAGACCAAGATGGCGTGGCCTTTTGTGTGGTAGTTGTATAGAAGTTTTTTGACCTTGTTTTCACAACTTGGCCATATTGGTAAGAAGACTTAGAGGAACGTATCTAGTCCGGAGTTCATAGTACGCATGATAATTTCCAGAGTCGGACAGTGGACTTGGAACATTTCCAGACATTTCGCCCCTTCTTTAGGGAATATTCGATCTCCCTTGATTCTGAAACCATAGACATTATCATGCGTGCTATAGACTCCTGACAAGATGAGGTCTCCCTGCCAAAATGACTAAGTTGTGAAAACAAGGTCAAACAATTTCAATAATTATT